TACATTTGGATTACAAAAAAAAATTAATTAATACTCATAAAAAATAAATGAGTAAATATATTAATATTAAATTAATATTAATTTATTGAGACAAGTAAATAGTAGATATTCTAATACAAAAATCCTTATGATTTTGACAAAGGATATGAAATAATAATATGTTATTGAAAATGATTTTTAATTTACCYATATTCAAAATTATTTCAAGTATACACAGTGGTCCATTTAAGTGGGTATACTAATCATCTCAAAAAGTCTTTAATTATTTTATTTTTTTTAACTTTAAGGTTTATGTTTTTCTGAATTCGTATAATATTAAAATTTTTTTCACCCATTTGGTTTTTTTATTGTTGAAACCACTTTCAACTTTTGATTTTCCAATGGTAATATATTGTAATATAAAAATATCATAAATTAATAAAACTAATTTTTTCATAAATTTACGTGTTAATATTTTTATTTTTCGTTGATGGTTTGCGAGATACAGCTCCTCAATGTATTGATGGTTTTTACTATTTTTCCRATAATTGTAAATACCAGGGTCTAGTGATAAATTCGATATCGTTGAATTCAAGCTAATAAAATCAATAACAGTCAATTAAAGATTATACTATTTTCTATTGTACTTTTGAACCCTAATCATTTATTAACTAATCGACTATGTTAATAGGACATTCAATTAATCAGGTACAAAGTACAATAGTTAGCAATATTTTCACCTTGTCAAACGGTATCGAATTTATCAGTTATAGCTTCTATTCTTTATAAATGAACAAATAGTATAAAAAATGCTGCATTTACCGACTATAACTCCTCATTCAACCACCAATACTTTGAGGAGCTGTATCTCRCAAACCAATCGACGAAAAATAAAAATGTTAACACATAAATTAATGGTATAAAATAGTTTTATTAATTTATGATATTTTTGCTATTTGTTACCATTTAAAAATCAAAATTTGATAGTGTTTTCAGCAATTAATATAAGGATAAAAAAAATTAAAATAGTATACGATTTTAGAAAAACATAAACATAGAACTTCTATGATAGAAGTTAAAAAAAAAATTTTTAAAAGTTAATACTTTTCGAGATTCTTTGTGAACCGACTTAAATGGATCACCCTGTATATATTGTAGTTTATGTATTTATTTTTGAATAATAAATTACTATATTTTAACTTTAAGTGAAATATTAGAGACTTGTTGATTATTATTGTTAAATATCTATAAAAGATAAATAAAAAATAAATAGCTTAAATGATTATTATCAACAAAGTATAATATATCATATTATAAGTTAAGCATTTTAAATGAATAACACTCCGATATTAAGATTTAGCTATTGTCAATTGATTTTTCTGAATGAATGACTAAATATTAAAACTTTTCATATAATAATTCATTAAGTAGAAAATTAGTAAGATTATAATATAAAACGTATCAATAATATAGCTGATACAATATCGTTATGTGCATTAAAACATCACGGAATTAATTGCAATTAATGTAATGTATACTACAATACATAATAGTATACATAATGTATACTATTTAATTGTATGGGTATATATTTAAAAGAAACAGTGACATAATAAAATTAAAAAATATATTTAAATTATTTTTGTGACGTTGAGTGGCGTGTAAGGATTTTTATTTTTATTTTTTTAATTCTTAGAGAGTTACTTTGTTATGGTAAAGAGGCGATGATATATAATACTTAACATTAGTGGTTACCAGTGAACGTTTTAGTGAAGTACACTATAAATAAGCCGAATTCTCAATAGATATTAGATTATTCTCTTTCCCCGAAGGTTTTTAAATTTTAATTTGACGTCTCAGCATTCGTAACATTGTTCATAACTTAGGCACTACTCTAATATGAACACATCATTTAATATAGGTAGGTACACTGTATGTTAGTCATTTGTTAAGAATTACAATTAATAAATTTTGATTT